AATGCCCAGCAGGAAAACACAGGGTGTTCTAACAGACAGTTCAATGCTGTCTTTACAAAAACATTAATATTCTCTAATAGGTTAAAATGACGCCCAGTCACACTGCCTGTCCTTGTCTATACTAGCATATTGCGATGCTGACTGAAGTGGAAAGTGTTCTCATTTGAGAACATGCAAATAAAGACATATTGTTTTGCAATTTCCCCTTGTTTAACCTCTCCACAGTTTGCCTTCATCAGCTTAGCTGGTAGTAATATTAAAGACCCAACACATAGGACATACAATCAGTATTCCAAATGGCTAATTTATTAGTTGGAGTGTGGTCCTAAGTAGGGTCATTATTAGTTCAGATTTATTAACACCAGGTTAATGTAGAAAGAACCTAAGTTTTCCTATCAAAAGTAGCCAAAGTTTTTTTTTTTTGGATTCAGGAAGGTCAATACTTGCTAAAAGCTGCTTGTTAGTAACTAATATTCATATAACATTACTGTTTACAAGCTCATGCACACACATATTTCTTGGATGAACTAGTGTGCTATCGTACATTTCCAAACTGTACAATGTCAGGGAGGTCACAAGGTTTAAATCCTCTTCTCTCATATGCAAGTTTTTCAACCCACTGTTAATAGTTATCAAATAGCTTACCACTTTGATAAACTTTCTGCTTTCATTCTATTTAGTATTTAACCATTAATAATTAAAATATCCAGGAATTTTGTAAATGTACTAGGTACTTAAAAAAATATATGGTTTCCATGGCAGAATCTAGACTTACCCACTTGATCATTCAGATTTACACTTCTGTTTAAATCACTTTTTTCCTTTTTTTTTTCTTTTTTTTTGATTAATAGATTTTTAACTCAGCTGCTACTCTTGATTCTAGCCAGCTTCAATCTTTACAGTACACTTGTTTTCATCAGAGGGCTGCCATGAAATGAAAACCAGACCCTCTGCTTCTTAAGTCTCTGGTCCTGGACTGTTTTATAAATATTCTCCCCCTCCATATGATCATCAGTAAAATCTAGATAAGATTTATTCAAGTGACCTTTGGAGGAGTTAGTATTCTATTTGTGTGAAGTGCTTTCAATTGTACCTGTTTGGTTCTGAGGCTCTGAGGACTGTGATTTACTCATTTCATTCTGTGTTAATTGAAGCTTCACAGTAAGAACTTCCACCTAGGAGCAGAATGTAGCAGATTGCAAAAGCTATGGTTTTCTCTTTAAATAACCAGGACAAGGAGAAGAAATTGCTCCACTTATATTTTTAAATTCATCAGAGAGCTGTGAAAAAAGAGGGTCAACTGAACTAAAATCCAGCATGACATCTTTTTCAGGTAAAGAGAAAAAATGCAATCCCTATCAAATCCCAGCAGCTCTTTTCACAGAAAGGGAAACTATTCCCAAAGTGTATGTGGAAATGTGTATGGATGCGCGTGCACACACACACACACACACACACACTCACTCACGGATAGGAAAGTGCCCAGGAGTGTTGAAATGTTTTTTTAAAAAGACCAAAGTTGAAAAAATAAATAAATAAATAAATAAATAAATAAATAAATAAATAAAATAAAAAGACCAAAGTTGAAAGATCACTGTTCCTGCTTTCAAAGCTTACTACTTAATAAAGATGGTATGGTAGTCTCATGAAGAGAGATACGGAGGTAGATAGATGATGGTTGGATTGATAGATAAAAATGAAACATAATTGAAATGAAATGAAACACTAGTTAGAGTTGAACTTAAGTGTTCTCACCAAAAAAATTAAAAATGAGGCAATACGTTAATTCAGTATCATAGTCCTAAATGTACATCATCATTGTGCTCTTTAAGTATATTACAAATTTGTTAATTTATGCCTCAATACAAGTGAAAAAATGAAGAAAATGAGTTGAAATTTAAGCCTTCTTTGTCCTAGACCATAAATAACTGCAGAGAGCAGGTTAAGTGGGGTACTACTCAAGTATAAAAGGAACTTGATTGCTATGGAATGCTGTGGCATCTTCTCCAGTTATATGAAGTAGAAAAAAATAGATACAAAACAATGTGTACAGTGTGTTATTTATTATCTAAAAAAGGTAGAAGCTCTCCTAACTAAAAACAAAAAAAAAAAAACCTAACTTTTTTTTTTTTAAAGATTTATTTATTTATGCATACAAGAGCTGGGGTACAGGCCAGAGGTATGGGGGGTGAGAGAATTCACCAGAGACAGAGTGGGGAACAGAACAGGCAGATAGACTTAAGTACACTGCTAAGGGGAGCGGCCAGCAAGTCAGGAGAGGTCTGCTGCACCATGTGGGTAGCTCCCTGGCCTAGGGGATTGAACTCATGCTGCAGAGGCTGCGGATAGGTTGCGTTTTAACCCCTTGCACCACCAGTGAGGCCCTAAAAACAAACGATTTAAAATGTTTATCTATTTGGAAGGAAATAGAGATGAGAAGACAGGAAACTAGATTCCTCTTAAGTTTTTGACTCTGGTACCATGGGGAATGGTACCCATGGAAAAAAATGAGGCTCACATGGTTGGAAATGGAAGTTTGGGGACTCAGTGATTTCTGTCACACTCAATAATACCTCTTTTACACTTTCAATTTAGGGTAAATTACACTCTGTACTGAAACCATTCATCTTCTGATTCTCAAAGTCGTCGTTCATATTGTACTACTCTTCAGTCCACCAGTATTTCAGGTCACCTTAAATGACCTGCAGTCATTTCTTCTAAGGGCTGTCTAGTCGCTGGGGTGGTACTGGTACAGCAAAGTATCAAAAGAAATTCTAGTAATTGTCACACAAATTAAGTTTTATAAATTTCACAATGTTATTTGTACAAATCTTATCAGTAGATATATAGAAACAAACGTTCTTTAGGCTACGTTAATTTTGCTTTGAACAATACATTTATTTAGTGCAGGGTGAGGTGTGGAAAAATTGAACAGTGCTTTTCCAAACTTCAGATTATGATCAGAAGTCACTCTCGGAATAATCTACGTTTACACAGGTTGTCCATGATGAAAAACACAGTGCTTACCAGTAAAAACAAAGAGATTAGAGAAGGTAATGTAATGTGTATCCTTTAAACACCAGAGTAGGTGGTTATCCATTACAATGTTACCCTAAGTGTATTCAGGGTGTGTAAACAGGGGTTAGAATTTCCAGCCTTAGGGGCCTCCCTGGTGGCGCAAGGGGTTAAGACGCAACCTATGAAGCTCACCACAGCCACTACAGCACAAGTTCGAGTCCCAGCCCTGGAGGTGACCCACATGGCGTAGCAGACCTCTCCTGTCTCGCCTGCTGCTCCCCTCAGCAGTGTATTTCAGACAATCTGCCTACTCTGTTCCCCACTCTGTCTCTGGTGAATCCTCTCACCCCCCAAAACTCTGGCCTGTACCCCGGTTCTTGTATGTATAAATAAATAAATCTTAAAAAAAAAAATTTCCAGCCTTAGGGCTTAGTCATAGGTTCACGTGTGTCTCCTTGCAGAAACAGTATGTTTCCACACCTAATCTGGATTTTTCCTAAGTTTACATGGGGAGTGAGAATTTGATATTGAGAGATTATGAACTGCAAAAAAAAAAAAAGAAAGAAAGAAAAAAAAAGCTTGTTGAATGTGTAACTTCTGTCACAATTGAAACAGGCCTAAAACATCGCAGAATATGCCCAAATCTGCTTAAGGGGCTCATCTTGTCCTAATATTGCTAGGGAGAAAAGGATGTCCTAAAGCTAATTCCATACAGGTTTTGTGGACTCCACCCCCACTCCAGACCAAAGCCATCAGGACATTGGGAAAGACAAATCCCATCACCACCAAAAGGAAGGCTGCTGGGACCTGAGGGTGGAGTTAAGCAGCCAGGTTTGGTATAAAACCAGACTCGTGGGTGTTGGGGGGTTCCCTTTTGGCTCTCCGCCAGCTTGCAGTGCTTGGCCAGCTCTGAGTGCCTTTGGGTTTCCAGGTCTGTGGATCAGGTAGGACGCATTAAAGACTTTATTTCCCTATTTTCTCCCTGAGTTGTACATTTCCTCAATTCCCTTTCCCTTGTAAATAAACCTTTTATTAACCTTTGTGTGTGCCTGTAGTGGAGTATTAATAAGTTCCTTTTAAGCGCGCAGGTGAGGACCCACAGCCAGGCAACCTGTTTTATATCTGGGCTGCTCCGAAACAATATTACAGCCAATGTTACAAAATAAAAGGGTAAAATGCCTGGCTAAAAAATCCCAGTTTTATTGCTGGCAGACAGTGAGCCTTAAGGCCAAATATACCACTTCACTTGGCTTCCTTTCTCCAACTGGTGTTAGAGGGGAAAGGATGTCCTAAAGCTAATTCCATACAGGACTCTGCCCCCACTCCAGCCCAAAGCCATCAGGACATTGGGAAAGACAAATCCCATCACCACCAAAAGGAAGGTTGCTGGGACCTGAGGGTGGAGTTAAGCAGCCAGGTTGGCATAAAAACCAGACACGTGGGCCTTGGGGGGGGGGGGGGTGTAGGGAAGGCTTTTGGCTCTCCGCCAGCTCTCAGAGTGCCATTGGGTTTCCAGGTCAGCGGATCAGGTAGGACGCACTTAGGATTTTACTTCCCTATTTTTTTCCTGAGTTGTACATTTCCTCATTTTCCCTTTCCTTGCAAATAAACCTTTTAGTAACGTTTTGTGTGTGCCTGCAGTGGAGTATTAAGTCCCTTTTAAGCGCGCGTGTGAGGACCCACACCCAGGCACCCCGTTTTATATCGGGGCTGCCCTGTAACAGTGCAGTGAAAATCACGCCTTAAGGCTGTCCATATGTTCTATTAAATAACACGTATGCCATTTATATAAACCCGCTGGGGGCCACTACGTGTTAAGCGCTAAAGTAACTATCATTTGCGCAGCCGACAGGAAGAGGCGGGGCGCCGGCGGCTGCCAGGGGCTCGGCGCCGCTGGGGAGCAAGCGGCGGCGGCGTCGGGCGCGCACGTCTCCGGGAGCCGCAGCCGCTCAGCCCCCGCCCCAGCCTGCCCCGGACGTCCGTCTGGGCCCGCGGGGACCCTCGGCTCCAGGCCCATGGCCACCGCGGCGGCTTCGTCTTCCCTGGCGCTCCGGGCCTGCAGCCCGGCCGCAGCCCCCAGCTCGTACGGGGTCTTCTGCAAGGGGCTCTCCCGCACCCTGCTCGCCTTCTTCGAGCTGGCCTGGCAGCTGCGCATGAACTTCCCGTACTTCTACATCGCGGGCTCCGTGATCCTCAACATCCGCCTGCAGGTACACTTCTAGTGCAGCGACTTCGCCGCTGCCATGGCGGCACACCATGGCGGACTCCCTGGGGGCCCGGCCCCGCGAGGTCTCGCGAGAGTGTCGGGCGCTCTCCGCGGCTGCGCACTCCTCCCTCAGCCGCACTCGCGGGCCGTCGCGTGAGCCGTCCGGGGCTGGCCGGAGGGAGTGCGTGACTTTGGTTCCGCCCGCAGACTTTGTACAGACTCACGACTGTATTTAAGAAGCCGAACTTTCGAGAAAAAAAATTATGTACAACAAGCTCAAGGTTCCAGTTAAATAAGTTTCGGGACTGTTGTTTGGATCGGATTGTAAGTAGACACTGAATGAGTCAGAAGCTGAAGATCTTAAGGATTTGCCGTGGACGCCAGCTCTTTCTTCGTCCCACAGGAGAAAACGATGACAGGAACTTTTAGTGAAAACAGCGCAAAGACGGTACAGGAGTCGCATCCTTCATATATACCAAGATTTTGACCCGAGGGTTGTATTTTGAGCCTCGGAGGGTCGGAGTGTGAGAAAGTGGACTCTGTTGCAGTGACCCTGTGAGTAGCACCTAGTTCAGCACCCAGGAGCCAAAAAGAAGGCAACCCAGTCGTAGCACAAAGCATGGCTATTTCGTGGATAATATTTAGATAATCATCATAATGTAAATGCTGTTTATGGTTGTCATCTTTTAAAAGAATTATGCTTACAAAGTAGCATGCCAATGACATCAACCTTTACAATGTAAAAGTAGACCTTACTGGTGGTGATGTTGAAAGGGGGCAGGGTAAATGGAATAGTGGATAAAGTTGCTAGAATAGTAATATAATTACATTCAAGAGAAAGAGCAGAGACCAGCAGGAAGTCAATAAGAAATGCCTAAGATGGAGAGTTAAATGAAATGTCTCAAAAAGAAAAAATGGTAGACTATTTGGTGTGTTTGTATATGAGTTAACAGGTTTTTAATGTTTTAGGGAGTCTGGGATTAAATGAGTGGTTTATAGGGCTTTTCTAAATTAAGGAAACAGCTGAGGCAATTATAAACCCCAGGAAAAATTAAAAGTTTGACAAGAATTACACTGCATGCCTCAACTGTGAATAATAATGGTTATATAAAGTTGGTCATAATTATGTAAACATTGAACACAGATAAAACGAATGGTTATGTAATTTGGAGGAGACTGGAAAGGAAAGAGATGTGTATAATGGGGGAGAATCAAGATCTAATTCAGTGAAGTCAAACTATGTTACATAGGAAAAACAACTCAGTTAAAAGTGGTTGTCTCTGAAGAAAGAAAATCGGGGATGGGTAGAGAAAAGCAAGGAGTGCTGCTGCTTTTCACTACCGGACTAGCAGTATTATTTGATTTTTTGAACTTAGATACTTACTTCTTTAAATAGGAATTGGTTTAAATAAGTTTCAACTTTTTAGAAGTTCTCCAGGTAATTGAAATTTACACCATTAGTAAGAGTCAGCAGGGTAAGTTTTTAAATCAAGTAGATCTGTTAAAATATGAACTCTGATTTTATAGCCTTAGGTGATGCCATTCATCTGCCTAAACTCCTTTCCTCCGTTATTAATTGAAGTAAAAATACCCACTTTGAACGGTGAGGATTAAAAATAAGCCTACCTTAGTGTTTCATATATACACAATAGATGGTGTTCATTATAACAGTACCCTTCATATTTGAGTAAAACTTAAAACTCTTATGGAAGGCCTGTTTTTCCAGAGATTTGAAGGAGATATGTAGGGTACTGACACTCGAGGTATGAAGATATTGCAGGAAGATTTTTGGTGAGACATTTGTGTGAAGAGTGGCAATTACTTGTTGTGGTAAATATTTAAACTGTTAACAGTGTTCTATATTCTAATTGTATCCAACAAAGAAATATACCCCAGGGGCAAAAAACTAGTGCCCGCTCCAGCACCATGTCTGGTTGCCGGTAATTCTTTCCATAATCCTTTTCTCCAGCCAGACTATTGAGCACTTTCTACTTATACTATTTTTCCATTAAGATTTTCTGAGATGCCTCTGACCAGAATAGACTTCATTCCTTTTAATCCATCCAAGGGCTGTGTTAATATCAATTTACACCTGCATTCGTTATCAGATTTGGAGGGTTGGGTTTTTCTTTTAATATCCAGGAAGACACATTTCCTGGACTATCATCTCTCCCCTTGGTAATTACATATTGCTGTGATAGAGTGCAGGAACTAAAATATTTTGTTCTAAAATATCAGAAATAGAATTTGATCCATAATGCCAAGGAGCCTGCAAAGGGGCAGACATCACTAGTTCCTAGAGGTACTGATGCTCCACTAATAACATAAGAGAATGTAGCTTCCTTCATGCTGGGATGAGGAGGTCCAAAATGCTACATTTGGGTGGCTGCCTGAATCCAGTGTTTTCAACCTTTTTCCTCTTAGCAGTCTTTTGTTACACTGAAGAAACTTAGGCACTTTATCACTTTATTAAACTTATTTATCATATCCTTCAACTAGATTGGAAGCTCTGTGAGTGAAGACACTGTATCATAATCCAATTTTACAACCTATAGTATTAGGAAATGTATAGTAGGACCCGAATGAGAGCTCTGTGATATACCATTTATCCTTCACAATTGTTCTAAAACCTAGATGTATGTTTTTCTTCTGACATGATACAACTCAATGAACTTTATCAACATCGCTGGAAAACAAGAGTTTTGCCCTGACAAACCAGTTACTCTAATTTGCGAGTAATTGTATTCCTCTTGACATCCTTCCAGGTGACATCCATGAAGCCAAAGACTTTGTTTGTTCTTTGCTCTATCCTCAGCCTGGAACGTCGCCTAATGCAAAGTAGATCATAACTATTATTGAATGAATGCCGAATTTGTTTTTTCTTCTACACATAGCAGTCAATAAAGAAAATAAAGCTGTATTTGGTCATGATACTAAGGTCATCCATTTTATTATCCATAAATTGAGCTTTTTTTATTGGTACAGACATATCTCCAACTTGAAGCAAAGAGGTGGTGTAATTCTGACCTATGAAGAACTCCTAATGCCGAAATTTCTGAGCCTGGAAAGCAGTCTGATCGCCAGTGAGCCCAGAGAAAGAGTAAAGATTTGCTGGGGCCTGGTGAGGCTCTGCCCCCGACCCCTGCCTTGCCTCCCTGCCTTGCCAAGCCTGCAGGGTTGCCACAACAACCCTCCACTCCTGAATTTCTGGAGAAATTCAGAAGCCTTTTGGCCCCTGGCTTCCCTTCCCTCCCTGGGCCAGGTTGCCCTCATAGAGGAGGTTTTTTTATATCTTCAGTGAGGCAGGGTAACCTTTTATGAACCAAAATGAGAAAAGCTAAATCCTCACAACCAAAAGGCATAAATCATTAATGAAATCCTTAACCAAGAATGTCTGGGCTTTAAAATCATTGCCACAGAATAGAGGTTGTGTCCAACAAACTAACAAGGTGTTTAATTTAAAAGGAACTTTTTGGGCCTCCCCGGTGGCGCAGCAGTTGAGCGCTGGGTTGCAAAGCTGCACGCAGCCTCTGCAGTGCCGGTTCGATCCCCGGCCACCAGATGAGGGTCCCACATGGCGTGCAGACCTCTCCTGCTGCCCGCTGTTCCCCTCAGCAGTGTACTTCATCAGTCTGCCTGTTCTGCTCTCCACTCTGGCTCTGGTGAATTCTCTCACCCTCCCGCGCTTCTGACTGTGCCCAGTGCTTGTATAAATAAATCTTTTAAAAAATAAAAGGAACTTTTCTGAAAAACTTTTGGAATTTTTTTCCCCCTAAGATTTATGTATGCAAGAGCTGGGTTGCAGGCTAGAGATGTGGGGGCGGGGGGGGGTGTGTGTGTGAGAGGATTCACCAGAGACAGAGTGGGTAGAACAGAGGATCTTCTGAAATATGCTCCTGAGGGGAGCAGCGGGTGATCAAGAGAGGTCTGTGCCATGTGGGTCAGCTCCCTGGTCAGGGATCGAACTTGTGCAGTGGCTGCTGACAGCTTTATAGTGCTGAGACTTAACCCCTTGCGCCACCAGAGAGACCCAACTTTTGGAATTTTTAATTGATAAAAGAAAACTTTGACATCATCTCAAACTGAATTCGAAGAGGAATATGTTTAACAGATGCCTTAAAATTCAGGTCAGGTTAGATCTATATGAAAGGGAAAAAAGTTATTCCTAGCTCTGACATAAACAGGACCAAGGGATAGAGATACCAATCTACATTTGAGATAGTGCGTTGTCTCCTGGAGCTGTATCTATATTGGTGTCCCTCAAATAATGACTAATTGAAAATAGTCCATCTGTCTCCTGTGATCTTTAAATATCCCCCCAAAAATAATGTCTTAACTGTTTTCTGAATTGATCGAGACCAACCATCTGGTCCACTTTTGAATGAAGGTTTATTGATCGAGACCAACCATCTGGTCCACTTTTTGAATGAAGGTTTATTCTGGAAAGTCTAGCACAAGACTTCATCTGGGTACACAACACTAACCAATCTCACACGTGAGTGGACTCTGGAAGTATGAGTTTTGCAGGTGGCCCCATGTTTCTGTATCAGTTAAGGGAGGACCAGGCCTTAATCAAGACCAGTAGATTAAAGACCTGAGCCATCAGATTCCACATTTTCTTTGGGCTCTGATAGATTCTTAGATGTTTCCACTATACAACATGATTTGACCACTGAAGTGTTTTTTCCACTTAAGATCGAGGGTCTTGGGCAGAGCTCAGGGCCAAGCCTCTTCTGGCATTAGAAGGTTATTTGTAACTAGTTTCAGGTGTGGGCAAACTTGGGGGGAAAATGAACATTATGTCAAGACAGTTCACACTTGAAAGTTTATTTTGGAGGGACGTGATCAGCAAGAGAGCAATGACAATCATTTTTTATTCCCCTAGTAAGTTGGTCCTGTACTAGGATGAACTACTCTCCAGATACCATGGGACTGCCTGGAGGTATGATAGTAGTAATTTTCCCTGGAGCATGACTTGGGTCTCCAACTCAGACTTTTATTATGGAAAGGGGAGGCACAGAATTTAATCTTAAAACTCCATTTTAATAGGAAAAGGCAAGGCAGCAGCCACCGCCCAGCCAGGCTTTATCTTCTCATCATTACTTTTTGTGCTTCTCTTATCAGGAGTAGGTCCCTGCTCCCCAGAGTGTCATTGGCAAGGACAGTACGTGAGAAGTGAGGACTTAATTCTAAGGAGGCATTTACTGCTCCTTCCCACTCGTAGAAAGCAATAGTTGTGCATAGTTGCTTCATCTTTTATATCTTTGCCATTAAACAAAAGTTTGCTGACACTAAAATAGAAATCAAAAAATTAAAAGTATATCCAGTTTCTTCTAGTAAGTACGAAAATAATCTTTAATATTTTTACTGAAAGGAATATATTCTAAACCAAATTATCTTGAATATCTGAGTAGCGCAAGATAATTTGAACTTTACCTTTCCTAAAGAAAGATAATCCTAGTGACAATCATTAGATTTCTTACATAGTGTTCAACATGAATGCAATTTAAATCTAAATCTCTGTTCAGACTTGGATATACATGTATCATAACATTATCATTGGCATGGTCACGAATGTATCAGAGCTCACCATAGTAAGAGTATACTTGACAAAATTTTTGCGGTTCTTATGTCTTCCCCAGCAACAGATTTGATGTATTACTCCATCAAAACTGACTTAACCATCGGGGCCTCCCTGGTGTCACAAGGGGTTAAGATGCAACTTATGAAGCTATACGCAGCCACTGCAGCATGAGTTCCACCCCTGGCCAGGGAGCTACCACATGGCACAGCAGACCCCTCCTGACTCACCTGCTGCTCCCCTCAGCAGTGTATTTCAGTCAGTCTGCCTGTTCTGTTCCCCACTGTCTCTGGTGAACACTCTCACCCGTACCCCAGTTCTTGTATGCATAAATAAATAAATCTTAAAACAAAAAATCTAACCATCCATATATTTTCAAGATTTATTTTCTAGTTTTTGATTATTTTGGGCCTGCTTTTACCAATGAAAGATCATGAAACCCTAGCATGTATGTCTTCATTAATGATAGTTTTAAAATATATTTATAATCTGAAGGTACTACTATTCAAAATTGTAATATTAGCAAGCACAATCTTACCAAGATTATGTGTTTTCAGCTACTTTGGTTATATTTTAATTATTTTATTATAATTATTATAAAACTTGCCTAAAACATATACACATATGTAATAATCTCTTGTAAACTTTCCTTTTTACTCCTACCTCTGGCGAGTCAGTTGTGTTTGTCTTCTCTGACAAGGAACTCTAGTAGCATCATATAATCTTTATATAGACATACACACCCTTGTAAATACATAAGTACTATTACGCACTTATATAAGTACTGTTATGCACTTTTATAAATTCAGTTAATTATTTTCTTTTTCTAAAAGGGTAGTATCAATTCTATTGTAGCTTGGAGTCCTAATGATAGTCAACTTTTTTTTTAAGAATTTTGTAATCCTTTAAAATCTTTGGGTTATTGATCATAACTCAAAACTTCAATTTATGAAACTGTAGGGAACAGAAATACTCAAAATGATAAAGTGAGGTGAAAAACAATAGAGGATAATGATACTCATAGTATTTCAAACACTTGAATTTAAAAAAAATTTTTATCGAAATAACTGCATTATAACATAAATTTCAAATATTTTAGGTTATATCTTGTTGTGAGATGATGTGCTACCAGTATTTTTTTTTCTTTTTTTTTAGGATTTATTTTTTTATACAAGAACCTAGGTACAGGCCAGATGCACGGGAGGGTGAGAGGATTCACCAGAGACAGTGGGAAACAGAACAGGCAAACTGACTGAAACACACTGCTGAGGGGAGCAGCAGGCTAGACAGGAGAGGTCTGCCACGCCATGTGGGTATCTCCGTGGCCTGCAGGGATCGAACCGGCACCGCAGAGGCTGCGGATAGCTTCACAGCGCTGCGTTCAACCTGCTGTGCCACCAGGGAGGCCCCAGCATTTTTATTCTTTGGTTTATTTTAACTTAATGTTGTGCAAGTGTTCTACCTATTCAAACTTGGAAGCAATTTTCATTTCTAAATAATCATGTTATTTTTGTCACATATGAATGCAGTAAATGTTTGCCAGCACCTTTAACATTTATATGTATTGTGGGCCTCCCCGGTGGCGCAGCGGTTGAGCGCTGGGTTGCGAAGCTGCCCCCGGCCTCTGCGGCACCGGTTCGATCCCTGGCTGCTCCCCGGCCACCAGAGGAGGGTCCCACATGGCGCCCAGACCTCTCCTGCCGCCCGCTGCTCCCCTCAGCAGTGTACCTCGGTCCTTCTGCCTGCTCTGCTCCCCGCTCTGGTTCTGGTGAATTCTCTCACCCCCCTGTGCCTCTGACTGTTCCCAGTGCTTGTATAAATAAATAAATAAAATCTTTTTAAAAAAATTTATATGTATTGTAATGTATGTCTTATATGCATATTAAATCTCAGATATTTCTTGTTACCAGCCTGTTATAAAATGACACCAATACTTACATTTTGAAAAATTCAGTGTTATGTCCTCTGACTATGTGAATGGATAATTAGTTTAGGCAATTTTAGGGAACATTTGTAATGTTCAACAGTATCTAAAGAATCCAGTGAGAAAAACAGAAGTTAAAATGGATCTCAATGTCTTCTCATTCATTCTGGAATATGGAAAAGTCTGGAGAAGTCTATGAAGCAACAGGTTTCAGCCTTTTCAGGTGGCATTTAAGTTGCCTCAACAGGTGCAAGGCAGCTTGTTGCAGCTTTCTGTTTCCCAAAATGAGGATAAATGAGTGGCCTGAGGGAAAAACAGAGACTGCTAACATGACAGCAAAATGGGCTCGAATTTTCTGCGGCTCAAGGAAAGTCCATCCTATTAATACAGAGGAAGAAAAGTGAACCATGAAGAGGAAGAGGAACGACATCACCATTTTCATGGCCCGTTTGTGGGCCACTGTGCTGAGGTCACCAGAGCTAGAGTTTCGCCCCAGGTTTCTGGTGTGTCTAATCAAGGAGAGAAATAAAAGCAGCAGTGAGATTACAGAGAGAAGAAAGGGAATTAACTGGATCAAGCTGTCAGCAACCACGCGCTTAGTATACAGAGTTCTTATACCTGAGGCCCAAGTTGAGTTTCTGACATAAATGTTACCAACATTATTCCAAAAGCCATTAAATGTATCTGTTAATTGAAGGTCAGCCAAGAGTAAGAACAAAGACCCCAGAAGAAGCACAAGCATCAGCCTGCTAATTCTCCACTTCAACCAGACAAACCAGGGCTGGGAGAAATTGGCTATTTTAAGGAAGTAGAAAACACTTAGACAGGTAGCCAGCCAGGTAGCGAAGTGATTGTTCAGAGTCCAAGCAATGCCAATAAATGTGGCTAGTTCATCAATGTCATAGAGATGTGGCCATAACACCATTACAGATGAATCAAGTACTATTATCCAGAGATGGCCAATTCTGGAGAGAGCCAGGCTGGTGAGGATATAGTCGGCTAATGAGAGCTTTTTACATTTGACCCAGTCCATGCAGTTCACCAGCACAATGAAGCCATTCCCCAACACTCCAATCACAAATTCTCCTATTGCCACCAGCAGAAAAGTATTTCCAATTTCAGATGGCATTTCCGTAGAAAGAACCCAGAAAGCAAACTCTATGTCTTCTGATATTTTGCTGACAAAATATTGTAAAATAATATGAGTTTGATACTTGACACTTTTATGCTGAAAATGCTGAGTCTCATATACTAAAAAGAATCTCCCCTGTGTTTTAGATTAATTCCAACTGTAGGTCTGAAATACTTGATCCGGTTTCACAGATCTTCGTGAAAAATTTTATTTCTCTCAATCAACTACTGATCCCCAAGGTAAGCAGTGAATGTGTCCATCATACTTGTTAGCTGCGAGTTTCCACTTGTGAGGATTTGTGGAGGAAGGAAGTCAGGTGTGGAAGAAGGAAGTCAGGTATGCAAGCATGCAAATTTGAGACAGATTTCTTTACACTGATTTGTACTTTCCTTTTCCATCGAAACTCAATACAGTTGGGATTCAAATTTCTTCATTTTAAAACTGTCCTCTAAAAGTAAGCTCTACACTGCAGACATTATTCATTAATTCCATATAAATGTGTAATAAAGAGAAGCAGCATCAAGGAGCTCAGACAGAAGTTGTAAAGTAACATTAAATAAACTATTGAGGGCCTCCCCTGCCCACTCAGGCAGTTGAGCGCAGTGCTGTGAAGCTGTCCACAGCCTCTGCAGCGCCGGTTCGATCCCCGGCCACTGGCAAGGGTCCCACACGGCGCACAGACCTCTCCTGCCCCGCCTGCTGTTCCCCTCAGCAGTGTGTTTCATCAGTCTACCTGTTCTGTTCCCTGCTCTGGCTCTGGTGAATTCTCTCACCCTCCCATGCTTCTGACTGTACCCAGTGCTTGTATAAATAAATAAATAAATAAATCTTAAAAAAGAAAAAAGCACCGTCAGCTTCACTATTTTTTGGTACACCGCATAACCTAGGAGTGTATATAGTTCAGTTTTCTACAAATGAAGGAGGGCAGGGAGAAGTCTTAATTCTCACATTATCCCCAGCCCCGGGGAACAGCCCTAGAGCAATGCCCATTCCCAGGGCTCCGTCAAAATTTATCACCTTTTAATTGTGACAAGTTTTTGTTTCTTAAAGACAATCTGAAGAATACATCAAAAAATGTAAGACCTTAAAAATTAAATTTTCATTTTTAAGGATTTCCATTATATAAACGTGTAGCATCTTTACACTACGATAATCCCAAGCATCATATTCAAAATTTTATATGTTCCCACATTTCACCTTAATTACAATTATAGTAATCATATCTAAAATCAGATGATAATATTCATAACACTATATATACATATTTATGTGTAAAATTTACATGACACATGTAGTATTCTCTTTTTTTTTTTTTTGAAGGATGTATTTACTTATGTATACAGAGCTGGGGTGCAGACCAGAGTTGTGGGGGTGAGAGGATTCACCAGAGACAGAGTGGGGAGCAGAACAGGCAAATCTACCTGTACTATTCTCTTTTTTTTTTTTTTTATTTATTTTATTTATTTAATAGAGGCATGTTTTATTATTTATTTATTTGTTTGTTTGTTTTGTTTATACATGCACTGGGTACAGTCAGAAGCGCGGGAGGGTGAGAGAATTCACCAGAGCCAGATCGGGGAGCAGAGCAGGCAGAAGGACTGAAGTACACTGCTGAGGGGAGCAGCGGGCGGCAGGAGAGGGCTGCGCGCCATGCGGGACCCTCCTCCGGCGGCCGGGGAGCAGCCGGGGATCGAACCGGCGCTGCAGAGGCTGCGGGCAGCTTCGCAACCCAGCGCTCAACCACTGCGCCACCAGGGAGGCCCCTGTACTATTCTCTTATAAACTATGCTTTCTAGACCTTTGTGTTGACCTGTTTCTGTTTGTTTCTCTGAGAACTCTAATGATCAGATTCCAGCAAAATTCATGTGTAAACACAAATGTGATCATTCTCAAAATGTAATTATGATCCATTTGTAGTAAAAATATAAGTGTGGTTTTGAACTAAAGGGAAATTTTAATTCTTTTGCATCACATGGTGGAAGCAATGATTTCTGCCACTCTGAAAATACATTTTGCATATCTCGGTATTTAGCAAAATTGATTAGTACCTGCATACATCAAAAATATGATTTAGAGCTTCAAATTTAGATAAGCATTGTAAAACACATTTCTACTTAAAGATGATTTATTGTATTTTGTATTCTCACATATCTCCTGTTCTGTTATCAACGAGATTCCTAATGACAACAATGCAATGCTTTATCATTCAAAAAATTTTGGACTTTAAGAGCTGAGGTCATATTTTTCCCACCTGTAACCTTAGTTGCTCAATTAATTTTTCTATCAATATTTTATAGATCTTGTACCCTGTTGATTTTGTAATTTATCTTGATTTTTCAAGAACTACATGCCTTTCTCCCCCTACATGAGCTGCAATTACATACATCTTTTACATATAAAATGCTAAGTTAAATTCTCTTCGAAAGAATATTTGAGACTTCAAAAAATTGGTAACCAATATTTTTTTAAAAATGATTTCTTTTAAAATTACATTGGCTGACTATGTGTGAATTATTATCCAAGGCAACCTGCTCTAAAGAAAATTGCAGTTATGCTCAACAATGCTTAAAGAAACGCACAGGGGGGCAGGGGGGTGGGGAGAGAAAATTGATTCTCAAAGTCTTCTCACTAAGTTTTTATCTTTGAAAAGACTTTGGAAATTCTATCTGTAAAGCTGACAGATTTTCTCTTCAATAAGCTTTTAAGATACCATATACTTTCAGGACTGCCTGTCCAAGTTTCTTGTTTCCCAGAATCAAAATAAACGAGTGGCCTGTGGGAAGGACATACATTACTAACACGAGAAACCTTACAAACATGTCCCGCCACAACACAGAAAACAACCAAATTGCCAATTGCGTGGAAATAAAATGAACCACGGAGAGGAGTAGGAAAGACAGCAGTATTTTCATGGCTCTTTTATGGGCCTCTGTGCTGGAGTCCCGGGAAGCCATGGAGTTGCGCTGCAAATTCCTGGTGTGTCTCACCAAGGACAGAAACAAAAGGACCAAAGAGGTCAGGGACAGGAGGAAGGGGATAAAATAGGTCATGCTAAGAATAATCAGAGTGTTAACCTGGGAAGTTTTTCTTTCAGTTGGATGTGAAGTCAGATTACTTCCATCTAATATATAGTCACTAATGAAAAGTCTTTCTAGCAATAGCAAGTCAAAAATCAGAATGGCCAAAGAAGAGACAAGAGTCATTAGAACCACTCTGTTCATTCTCCACTTCAGCCAGAGGAAGAAAGAGTGGGAGAACTGAGCAATCTTCAGGAGGTAGAAAATGCTGAGGCAGGTCGCCAGCCAGGTAGTCAAGTGAATAGCTACTCTCCAAAGCAAGCTAAAAAGCCTTCCTAGTTTATAAGTGAGGTATATATGTGCACCTGGTCCCATCAGAAAAGATTGGAATAAATACACCACCAGCTGCATGATTCTGGAGAGAGCCAAGCAGGTGAGGATGAAGTCAGCCAGGGAGATCTTGTGGTTTTTGACCCATTCATAGCAGTTAACCGTTCCAATGAAAACATTCCCCAGTATTCCGACGAGGAACTCCACTATCGACAGAATCAGAAAGACTTCATCCAGACCCATGAACATTTCTGCAGAAAATAATCCACACTTCTAATCCTAGATCTCTGTAATAAATGTATAATCAAACTGTTGCAGAAGAGCATCCATTTCTGATACTTCTCTTCATTGCTTTGAATCCAATTCTAATCTTAAGCAGTACCTCCAGCACAGATGGGTGGGTACAGTCTCCTATACTAAAGGAAATTATTCATCTCTTATTATAATTCTGTTCTTAATCCAGAAGGATCTTCTAAAGTATACAGTCTCATATAGAAAATGCAGTTACTTCTTTGAGAGAGCAACTAATTTCCAAACCAGTTTGTGTCCAGGTACCATTGGCACTGATTGCAGTTTTTCACTCATGGCAGTGATTAAAAGGTTAAAGTCAAATATGCAAGCATGCAAATTCAAGCCAGATTCTTTTTCACTTAATTTGTACTTGCCTCCTTACCTGAAATACTAGACTGTTTGGATCCAAATGTCTTAGCTGTTTTTCATAGAAAGCTCCAGAAATAATCTAGTTATTATTCAATGAATATATTTTATGAGTACCTGCCATTTGTCAGATTCTTTTCCAAATTGCCATATAGGGTACTTCAATAAAAGACAAGAATTGGGAAATCCATAAAATAGTGAAAACACAGAAACATGAGGTAGAAATAAGAATAAAATGTAATGTGAACACAGGAAAGGTAATTATAGATATTACTGTTGAGAGAGATGATATTGATATTTGCTTTCAATTTTGAAGATATTTAGAATTTCATAAGTTGGGAAGTGGTATTTGGCACTGCTTGAACAATTAACCAAAAAAATAAAAAACCCAAACTAATTTTCTAACATGAAAATCTTCGAACTCATAATTTAGTGCAATTTTAATCTAAATATTCTTCAGATATCTCAGAGTTACAGACTTCATGTCCTGGACTGTTAGTATTAAGTGTTGCCAGTTAACATCCAAAAAATGCATGAAATCATTTAAAAAATTGGCCCTTTTCAATATTGCTTTTACTCTCTTCAATGGAATTCTATTAATCTTTAAAATGTATATTTCAAAAAATAATGCTGTGTAACGGAACTGATATTAATTTGCATGAAAATATTTTAATTTAGAACAAATATTGACATTATAGAGAGATATATATTGGAAAATGCATGGATGATTCAAAGTGGGGGTATTTACTTTTTGATAATGAATTATCAGTGCAAAAAATGATTCTAGAAAGCTGTTCTAACATGTTGAGTAAACATCAACAATAAAAGAGGTATATGAACATCATTTGAGGTTCAACATGTTTAGAAAATCTATTTTGTAGTAGTTAATATGAAGGAGACATATTGATTCTGGATTGCTTTTTATCCAACAACTGAAGTGAGCCAACATATAAAGTAGTGACCAGCATATAAAGTAGATAACTCACGGTGTGGGTACCAGACCCCATCTAGAGTGGACCAGCAAAGACATTTGGTTCTGTCTTCAAAATATACCCAAAGCACCCCACTTTTCACTCCATTCTCTGTCCCCTTGCTGGGATAGTGACTGCTCCGTGCCACCACCTCTCATCTAGATGGGTGTGGTCCACTCCTAAGGGTGCTTCAGCTCCCGCCCCCGCAGGCTGTCAGTTAATAAGATCTAAGATCTTAGCATCTGCTCAGAACCCTCCCTTGGCTCTGCGTTTCTTGCTAAGTCAGTCACAAGACCCTACATTACTGCATCCCATCGCTTCAAACTTCCTGACCAGACCCCTCTCCCCTCGCCTTATCGCTCCATACCCTTGAGCTGTTCCTCAGACTCTGCAGGTTACTTGGAGCTCCCAGCCTGGGGCGGGGTCGGGGCGAGGGGAGGGGTCGCGTTGGGGGGGAGAGGACTCCTTCTGCCTGGAATCCACATGGTTCCTTCCTCACTGCCACGTGCCTTCGTGCCAAGTCCCCTCTTCAATGAGGTTCTCCGAGCCGCCCCCCCATACACACACACCAGTTATTTACATCTCTCTTCCCTGCTGCTGTCTTTTCCCTTAGCACTTACTGCTCTCAAACATGGATTAGATTGCTTTGTTTTTCTTGGTCTCAAAAATCAAAGCAGGGTCTGTTCGCTCACTCCTGTAGCCCCAGCCCTTAGAATTTGCCTCACGAATGAATTGTTAACACGATTAATTTTTAAAAGTAGAGCTCCCTTCCCTATAATGTATATCAGTGACTCCCCAAATTCCCACGTCTGGGTCGCTGGGGTGAGCAACAAGATCCCAGGATACAAACCTGGGGAGCTTGTCGCAGCGGATTTCTTTGATTGACAGCAGAGGGCGCAGTTGCTTTAAAAGCGGAGAACTGCGTGAAGCAAACCAAAGTGTGAGACAAATACTGCTTGGTATCACTGATAGGAGGAAACTAAAACAAAGTCAAGCTCATGGACACAGTAGAAAAATGGTTGCCAGGGGCTGGGGAAATAGGGAGAGATTGGTCAAAAGGCACCCACTTTCTGCTGCAAACAGAATAAACTCTGGATCTAATGGAAACTATGGGAACTGGAGTGGAGAACACTATTGTGGGATTGAAATTTGCTGAGAGTAGAACATAAATGTCGCCAATATTATATATGGCATGAATGTAGACATATTATGTCCATAATATATATGGTGTTGGATGTGTTTGTTAATAGATGGGGAAATCTTTTCACAATATATATATCTAAATCAAGGCACCAGGATATGCACCTTAAATAACTTACAATTTTATATATCAAGTCTCTCTCCTTATGTGTGTGCACACATAAAATATCTTCTTAACAATGATCGTGTTTCCATTCAAAGTCATAGGTTGTGGGCCAGGAGTGCCACCTAATGGGAATGTTTTTTAAAGTGCAGGGGCCAGGCCTCCCCTGATGGCACAGGCAGTTGAGCAAAGCACTGTGAAGCTGTCCGCAGCCTCTGAAGTGCAGGTTCTATCCCAGCCAACGAGAATTCCACATGGTGCACAGACCTCTCTTGCCGCCCGCTGCTCCCCTCAGCAGTGTATTTCGTCAGTCTGCCTGTTCTGTTTCCCGTTCTGTCTCTGGTGAATCCTCTCACCCTCCCAAGCACCTGGCTTGAACCCCGTTCTTGTATGCATGAATAAATGAATCTTTTTTTTTTTTTATATAGAGGCATGTTTTCTCTCTCTCTCTCTCTCTCGTTTATACATGCATTGAGGCATGTTTTCTCTCTCTCTCTCTCTCTCTCTCTCTCTCTCTCTCTCTCTCTCTCTCTCTCTCTCTCTCTCGTTTATACATGCATTGGGTACAGTCAGAAGCGCGGGAGGGTGAGAGAATTCACCAGAGCCAGAGCGGGGAGCAGAGCAGGCAGAAGGACCGAAGTACACTGATGAGGGGAGCAGCGGGCGGCAGGAGAGGTCTGCGCGCCATGTGGGACCCTCCTCTGGTGGCCGGGGAGCAGCCGGGGATCGAACCGGCGCCGCAGAGGCCGCGGGCAGCTTCGCAACCCAGCGCTCAACCGCTGCGCCACCAGGGAGGCCCAATAAATGAATCTTTAAAAAAATAAAATAAAGTGCAAGGAACTAGCTGCAGCACATTTTGCTCCACAGAGACAGCTCCAGGCAAGTGGGAGCCTAAGCAGCACTGGGGGCCTCTGTGCCTCCCCAAGGAAAAATAATTAAAACTAAATAGAACAGAGGTGAGCCTAAGGCGCTAAGTGGCAAGATGTCATCTGGAGGGTAAAGAAGACTATCAGGTTTTACACAGCTGGCCTCCGGGTCACCTGCAGCCTTGATTGTGCTAATGAGAGAGGCCCTTGGGAGCGTGGGCACGGGGCACCCATGCCTGAATGTGGACACCTGGAATATGTGTGGGCGTGTGTAAGTGGGCACACCTGAGCCTGAAGGCCAGGTATGCATAAATAAATCAATCTTTAAAAAAAAAAAACAGCTATGAACAGCTATGAAAGGACAAGCGACAACTCGAGAGGAAGAGACTGCCAGAGAAGCCAGAGAGAACTCAAAGAGAAAGAGTAAAGATTCGTGTTGGGCTGGGAGGCCTGCCAGCCTGCAGGCTTGTCCCACAACAATTGGTGTGGAAAGAACATTAAAGCCTGAGAAAGCCACTGAGCCCCCCCCCCCCCAACTCTCCTTTATCTACCTGAACTGATAGACAACCTGCCCTGGGCTTGCTTGCCAAAACATAGGAGATCAAAATTACCTTTCAGCAAGAACAAGGGTGAAGGAGAATGAGAGGGTGAAGTAAACAAACGGGGAAGAAATACTCCTGTGGCTGAGAAAAACCTCCATTCATCTACCTGTGACAGAGACAACTGAGCACATGGAGTGGAAAGATTAGAAGGATGAGTTAAGTGCTCAGCCCAGTGGGCGTGTAGCCACTCTGTGGGTGTTGGCTGTCACACAGTGCATTGTGATTAAGAGTGTGGATTCTGGAACGAGGTGGCCTTGAGTTCAAATCCCAGCTCTGCTACTCATTCAGGGTCTGACTTCAACCCAGGCAAGTTACTCAATCTCTTTGCATGTGACTTTTCTCCATGGGGATAACACAACTTACAGGGTATTTGAGTGGTTAGAAGATTTAGAGGGGTAGTTGACATGTTAGGAGATTTTTATTTATGGAAAACAAATTGATTTGGATGCCTCTGATATTTGCCGTTATAAATAGTGGGATGCGTGTCCTTGTAACGCAGGCTCTGCGCCCGTTCCCTCAGTAGGAATAGAATTACCCAGTTAAAGATATATGTGGCTTAAAGGTTATTTGCACTGCTAAAACATTCTGTTAAGAATTTACTCTCTCACAGATGGGGTGTATGGGTGTAGCATACAAGGATCCTTTCAAGTTAAATAAGAGCAGGACTTGATCGCCTGGGGCAACAGGTCCACATCCCAGGTATGACAGGGAATGCCCAGGGGCCTATGACTGGTGTGCTTTGCTTCCCAAGGACTGATCAGTGGGACGTTGTTAATACAATTGGAGCTGGGGGTGGGAGTCAGTGTATATCATTGGACTCACCCTCCCTAAAGCCCAAATTCCAGTGTTC